TCAATATATTAAAATAACTGGATCATGCAATTAAAATGAAAAAGGCAACTTATTTCAGAAAGTAGCAACATCTTTTTTTTTTTTTTTTTTTTGGTCTTTTTCGTTTTTATCAGTACCAGGGATTGAACTCACGACTGTCTGCTTGCAAGGCAGGCCCTTATGCCACTGAACTAAATCCCCAACCCCAAGTAGCAACATCTTGATGTTGAACTACAACTATCTAGGAAGAGATAATCTTTATTACAGAATCTTAGATCCAGTTCAATAACTTTTCTCCAAAAAACAAGCACCTTACTTACAGCATCATAGTGACACACTGTATATTTTTATAATAATGATTTTCTAGCTCATACATAAGGAAGAAAATGTTATTTGGCAGCAAGACACGACTCTCTAAAATTTTACTTTAAATATAAGACTTATGAAAACTAATTTATATAGACATATCCTAATCCATTTCAAACAAAAATAACTGACAAGTTTGAAAAGATGAAACTTGTGGCAATGAAAATGAAATTGGGTTGCTTGGGAAAGTGTCACTTTAGAAAGCCAATAGCAGGAGGTAGAGGGGAGACCATTTCTTCAAAGCAAGCAGCTTTCAGGAGATAGCAAAAATAGCAGGTGGAACCAAGTCATAAAATAGGTCTTCTTAAAATAAACTTAATAATAACATCCAAAATGATTTATTGATCATATTCTAAAGCATACCCACAAGAACTGATGCACAGATAGAAGGGAAAAAGATTCCCCAAAAATGGTAAGATTAAAGGAATGCATTCAGAGAATAGTAGCCACCAGAGTTCAGCAGAGGAAAGATAGCAAGCAGAAATGGAAGGCCATGGAGATTGCCTTGGGAAGGGAGGAAAAGAAGCAGGTGATAACCTCATACATTGCACTGTCCGATCAGCTTGTTCAACAGCCCCAAGCATGACCAAGTGGTTTTTCAAGTCTCACCCCTGTGTTGCAAGCTTACAGTGGGAGGTAAGCAAAGAAGAAAAGTGATTATGTCCTAAATGAAACTGAGGATATATTTATGCTGACTCCAAGTTGACTGACACAGAGACTAAGAAGCTCAAACAATGTATTTAAACATGACAGGCTGTAGATTCTGGAGGTAGCTAGCAGCTAGAGATATAAAGGGATCCTGCAAGCCTGAGGACGATGTGTGTTATTCTTTCCTGATCCCTTCAAATGATACCTAAAAATATTTTTGCTTCTTGTAGTGGCAAAGTAGGTCATTTTCAAACCAATTCCTGCAGAGAACAACAAAAAAAAGGTATGAGAAATATTCATTTTAATCTGTTGAAAGGCTCTGGAGATCTTACAGAGAGAAGGTTAAAAAATCAATATCCAGTGAGGTATTTGGGGGCTTCTTTTTAAATTTTTCTGATTCTAGAAACAGAATCTCTGAAGCTGAGTAGTTAAACAAAAACCTTGTGGGGTCCCTTGTAGAGTCTCAGAAGTGATACAAAGGTGGATGTATTTGAGGTTCAACAGTTGCAAAAAGAAAATGATGTTCATTTTCATTTCATGTTCTCTGTAACGTTTTAATCTGACTCAAAGCATAAATTTCTGAGAAATGAAACTGCCATAAATCCCTCCTTCAAGCAATCTATCCCCACTGAACAATAAGAGCTACCACAAATTCCCTCTTCAAGGGGCTTCCTGGCCATGAAGGAGATGAAAAGACCAGACACACTTGTATACAAAAACATCACAAGCTTTCTTACCTGGCATTTATTGTTGCCCCCCCAAATTCTGTTTGTCATTTGTAAAGAAAATTAAAGCTTCCTTCAGAAGGCTTTTCTTCCCTCTCCTTTTTCCCTGTTAACTTGAGTACATAAATTCCAAATTCTAACTTTCCTTCTGAGTTATTTCCTCAGCATCGAGCACTCCTGTGTGGGTGCACACTGAACAGATGAATAAGTTTCTCTTCCTGCCTAAATGTATTTTGTTAGTTTAACCCACAAACCTCCAGTTCCAGAACATAAAGAGATAGAGGAACTCACAGCTTCAATACATCCGTGGGACCGTGATAACAGAGGGCTCACAGGAAGAGACACTAAGATTTTCATGAGTGACACAAAAGAACCATACTCTTTGGTGTGAACCATACATAACCCCTATAGGGACTGCAAACCTGACTTGAATCATTCAATCTTAATGAAACTATGGTATACTGATAATGCTATGACTAGAAATCCTCTCTACCAGAAGACATCAGTACCAGAAGACATCAGAAATTATCTTTGCTAAATTTTCTGTTTTAAAAAGAGAGAATTTTAACTCAAAATACTGAAATAAGGAATATGTCATGCACTTAAATGAAAAATCTCTAAGTAGAATTGCTCTAGAAGAAAGGACAGGAGCTCACCTTTGGATCCTGAGTTTGAGGTGTCCATTTTACACACAAGTGTAAATATCAAGTAGAAACCACAATACATCAATCTAGAGTTTGGAAGAAAGATATGGATTGAAGATACAGGTTTTTAGAGTTACAAAATATAGATGGCATTAAAATTATGAGATAGGCTAAGATCACCAAGGCAGTAAGAAAAGCGGATCAAGGATTCAGAACCGAGCCAGTCCAGTATGAGAAAGAGGAGAGGGGAGAGAAGAGAGAAGAGGGGAGGAACTGACAGTAGAAAAACAGTAAAGGGGTGCTCTGACAGGTTTAAAACGTGTTTCAAGAAGGAAGGAAGAATCCAGTGACAGATCAAATAAAACAAGGATTGACAGCTGACCACCGGGTTTAGCAACACAGAGGTCACTGGTAATGTAAAGAAACAGCTGTTGGGGGCTAAGAAAGAACACCGATTCAGACTGAATTTAATTTTAAAAACTGAATTAAGGTAATTAGGAAAAGGTAAAAATAAACAGTTCTTTTAAAGATATTGTGGAAAGGAAAAACAAAGAAATGGGATGAGTAAGATTGAGAAACAGACTGTATCCACCTCTTCCAATGTCTGCTCTTGGTGAAAATATTATTTCATTTTAAAAATCCATAATGGATTCAGATAAAAAAATATCAAAAACAAATTTTAAAGTAGTCATCGTTAACATAGTCCATGAGTTAAAACAATATTGGGAATTTTAGTGGCTAAATCCAGCATTGAAACAATTAGACGTTTTAAGACTGATAAAATATAATAAATGAAATTAAGAACTCAGAAAATGAATTTTTAATTTTAGATCAAATACAAGGATTCCTTTTCTGTCCATGGCCAAGTGAATTTCATCAATCATAACACCTAACTCACAGATAATAGTTCTAAATTCTAAAAAAATTACTTACTTAAAAAAAAAAGAAAAGCAAGATAAAAAAGAAAAGTACCTGCAGCCCCAGTAGAGTGAGCAAAAAGCAGCCAGAATCTCAGCAATGGGGCACCTTGCAGGAAAACCTGGCAGGAAGTGGTCTCCCCACGCCTTACAATTTCTGCCTAGAGGAAGGTACCAGCCTGACCTCAGCAGGGTGGCCAGAACTCTAAGAGGAAACCTGCCTTCCTGGTGTGAGGAGCCAGAGGACAGAATTTAGAGCCATCATAGAAGGCACAAAATGAGAGACAACAATAGACAAGGAAGAACGAATGAGAGCCCCACAATTCTGCTTTAAGTCCCTGCTCTGGCTCTGTCTCTGTCTCTCTGTCTCTCTGTCTCTCTGTCTCTGTCTCTCTGTCTCTCTGTCTCTCTGTCTCTCTCTCTGTCTGTCTCTCTCTCTGTCTCTCTCTCTGTCTCTCTCTCTGTCTCTCTCTCTCTCTCTCTCTCTCTCTCTCTCTCTCTCTCTCTCTCTCCAGGGTTTCACTATCCATTTGAGGCTGGCTTTGAACTTGCTTTGTAGCCCAGACTGGTCTCAAACCCATAGCAATCCTCCTCCTAAACACTGGGATTACAGGCGTGCACCACCTCACCCGGCTATCAGCAGATATTCTTAAATTTAAGAAACCCTTTAAAAGTGCATGTTTGTTTTCCTTAAGGGAACAGACAATTATAGACCATACTGTGCTCTGTAGGAGGCTAGAACAAAGACCTCTGATCATAAATTTTAGGTGGTACCAGAGGGTTTAAAAATAGGCAGCCTCTGTGGGGCATGGCGGTGCACACCTGTAATCCCACCACGTAGGAGGCTGACGCAGGAGAACTGCTGTACCAGCCTGGGCTACAAAGTGATTCAAGGTCAGTTTAAAATGCATAGCAAAACCCTGTCTCAAAAAGTAGACCGTTTTGTTTTTGATGCTACTGGGAAAAGAAAGAGTCCCACTGAGGAATCAGTCTAGGAGGAGGCTTCCCCCCAATACCCTTCCCCTAGCTGCAACCTACACCCCAGCACTCAGGTTCCGACTCCTTCATTAATCCCTCTTTTATCCCCAGTTTTGGAGACTTGCCTTCCTCACATGAATAACCATAGATAACTTGGAACGCACAGACTCCTATTTCAATTGCAGGAAAAATGAAAGGAGCTATAGTCCACTCAAATGAAACTTAATAGTTCATTGCTCCCAGATAAGAGGATGAGCCCTGCCCTGTAGTGTTATCTTTACTGGCCCCTAAATATGTCATTGCTCACACCTTTGTAAACTTGTATGGTAAGAATAAGTTTCCAGTATCAAGTCGTATCTGGCTCATGCTGGAGTTGGAAAGAAGGGTGAGTAATGCTACAAGCTGGACAACTCCCACTGCTTCATGCGCATGAACTCCATTAATGTTCATAGCAGCCTAAAATATAGGGCATGAGTTTAAATAATGTATGCAAGGTCAAACTGCAAAGTCTGTAACCTGCTCTACATGCAGCTTCTCAAAGGAAAGATCAAAAATGGAAAGCACAAAATCTTTTCATGCAAACAAGCATTAAAAGAGTAGAGACATGGTTTTTCACTTCTTTACAATTTTGCAAATTTATCAGTTCCTGAATTTGGTCTAATCCTATGCCAGTTTAGAAAAGTAGAAAAGCTCAAAATATAGTGGGGAGTACAAAGGAAAAGGCTAGAAAGACAGTCTACAAATTGTGTGAACACAGCTTTTATTCAAACAAAAAAACTAAAGGATAGTAAATACAGTTGTCCTTAGGGGCCCAGAAGGGATCAGTTGGTTCCACCACCAAAAGCCATAGATGCCTAAATCCGTTATATAAAATGGCACAGCACTTGGGTATAACCTACGTATATCATCCTGTATTCTTTAGTTATCTCTGAATTACTTACCCCTAATGATACGTAAATTGTTTTGTTCAGGGGTTAATGACAAAAAAAAGAAATCTGTACATATTTATTTTGATGCAATATTTTTGAAACATTTTCTATCCATCATGGTTGAATCTATGGATACTGAACCCACAAATATGTAGAGTTGATTTTACTGACATACTTAATAAGATCAATGGGCATTACAAACTGGCTGGACCTCAATACATCAAAAAACAATGCTTCTGTGGCAAAAGCACATTAACACACACAAAGCCCATATTTTTAGAAATGAATGTAGTATCTTGGGCATGTCTACAAGACATAATTAAGTGAACATTAAAACATCATTTTACCTCATTTGTTTGTGTAAATATGTAGAGTAAATCTTCTATTCTCGTGAGTAATCTATGTCCCATAGATTTATTTGGTAGCCCTTTTGGCCCAAAGGACCCTGAGGAAAACTATTTACAGATGATCACAGACATACAGGGGAACAAAAACAGCATATTTAAAGGGATTAACTAGGCATGTGGCAATATATCCAGCAGATGTACAGAAGACTTTTCATTAGTGACGTGATTCTTAGCTAACTCTGCACAAAAAGAGCCCACAACTCAAAGAAGAAAAAAGATAGCAATCAAGATATAATCAAGATTTTTTTTTATCGGTACTGAGGATCGAACTCACGACCGCCTGCTTACAAGGCAGGTGCTTATGCCACTGAGCTAAATCCCCAGCCCCTATAATCAAGATTTTTTGGTGTCTTGTTTTTTGTTTTATTTTGGTTTGGTTTTTGTTGTTGTTTTGTTTTTGAGACAGTCTCACCACGTTGTCCCAGCTGGCCTTGAACTCCTGATTATCTTCTCTTGGCTTCCCAGGTAGCTGGGATTACAGAGACATTTTGGGGCATCTTTTTATGTTGGATCTGCTTGGACAGAGGCAGTCTGGACAGAGGCAATTCCATCAAGAGCTTCCCAAATGTAGCTCTGCTCCTGTCAATTCTGAGTACCGTCTTCACCAGTCTCCACCTCCAGCAGGATAATCTTAACTGGTGGCCTGTAAGGCCTCCCCTCGCTGGCACAGTCTGTCTTCCCTGGCTCCCTGGCTGTCAGATCGGGGCTTCTAACTTGGCCTTCACAAGCTTCAGCGTGCTCATCCCTAAGCAGATTATAAAGAGGGCTTTCTCTCCCTTGGAGAGCAGCCAGTCACAACCAGGCAGGAAACCTGAAACGGATCTAGTACATCAAAGAGGAAATTTAATACAGAGCAGGGGTTAAACAGTTGATGGAGAGACAGCAGGAAAGACATACACCTAGAGAAAACTTCTCTGAGTGTGGGGTGAAAATATTAAAAGGTTTCTCTGGCTGAAATCTCAGGGGGAGGGGGTAAGTTTATCTGGGGTTTAGGAAATGGAGAAGCTGGGACTCAGAGGTTAACGGTTTGCTGAGGAAGTTGAGCGTCCAGTAGAAGGATGTGAGGTGGGAAAACAGATTAGACTTGTGTCTGGAGAATGAATCTAGAAAAACCCAGGGATCTGAGCTCAACCATCTCTAAGACACCAATTGAAGATCATGCTCAACATGTGCTAAGTGTCTTGGTCTGTTCAGACGACTATAGCAAAATATCAGCTGCTGGGTGGTTTAGTAAGCCACTGAAACTTATTTCTTTTAGTTTCTGGAGGGTGATTCAGTCCAAAACCAAAGCAGCAGCTGAGTCCAGGTCTGATGAGGGTCTGTGTTCTGATTTGCAAACAGCACCTTCTCAATATGTCCTGACAGAGGTCTCGCTCTAGAAGTCCTTTTATTTTGCTTTTTTAATTGTGCTGTCGTGTCTTGCTCAAGGTTGTGAACTGATTCAAAATGCTTACTCTTCATGATCATTTTGACTCTGGGGAAAGAGCCGGAGGTCATACAATGCCAGAGCCAATGAGTAAGATGGATAAGAACACACTGTAATAGTTTCATGTGATGAAAATTGCCATAAATGTCTTGACATTCAGTCCATCTAGGCAGGCACTAAAAACAGATGCTCAGAATTGCTTCTGAAGGCAGAACGAATGATGAGGTAAGTGTGTTTGAAGGGGGAATTCATGTCTGTGTGTCTTCTGCAATAATAAAATTTTTACTTAAACATTCACTATATTTTTATCAGACCTTGCAGTTAATGCATATAAGTAATGTATATAAGTAACAAAGCTTCCTTTTTAACTTGCTATTGTAACACAACATGTCCAATTCATAGACCACAAGTTGGATCTGCTTGCATGAGTTTAGTAGAAGCTTTACTAAAGCAAACCCAAACTCATGATATCAAGGAAAGAGAAAGCCAGACCCTTCTAACCAAGGGAGGGTGCCAAGCAGAAAGCTGTGTGATAGGAAGATCAGGTGGTGTGTGATGACCACTTCCCACCCAACAAAATTCCCAAAGAGAGAAACGCGCTAGAGGCCTGGTGACAGGAGGTGAGTGTGGTGTAAGGGCTTTCCCCCACTTCCTAAAACAACACTGGAGAGAAAACCCCACAAAGGTTGCAATGGGTTAAACACAAGGAAATTCTGCCCTTAGGAGCTCCCTTGGCTGCAGTGTGATTTGAAAGCTGCCTACAAGGTCAAGACTACCACGTATCCATGCAGAGTGCAGCCATCAGGCAAGCCCATGGCAGCTGTTGTGACAGCCCTGAAGACACTGTGGAGCGGAGGGTAGAGATCCCTGACTGAGGACCGATCAGGATACAGGGAGACTTCGAGGGGTACCAACACTCAGCTCAGTGGAGAGGCCCAAGAGCCCTCAGGAGCAGGAAGAAGGTGCCCAGTGTTTGGCCACAGATTCCAGCAGGTGAAAGAGAAGGGGTCATCTCTGCATAGAGCAGCAAAGACTAAGGAGAAGCCAAGGAGCACCATGGAGCCCCAGGAAACACTCCTCTTCTTCAAGGACCTGGCAAAGGTCACCATGCAGAGTCATCACCTTAGGGAAAACAAAGAAAAATTAGAAAAAAAATCTGAAACATTGGTAAATTATCAAACTAAAGCACAAAGAGCAAATAAAAACCTTTGAAATTATTAGTATTGGAGTGATTCCCTAGCATGCCAGAGGCCATGGGTTTGATCTCCAACACTGTAAAAATTAAAAGATGAATCATATCAGACTAAATTTGGGAGGGATTTTTCCCTTAGTACTCAACATTTTTCATCCATAAATATCTTACATTATATGTAGTTTGAAATTTGCTTATCTCACTTAATACTATAGCTGGGACGCATTCCTAAGTCAATATATGAAGATCTACCCCATTCTTTCAACTAACCATGCTCTATCCCATTCAATACAGGTTGATTACCCCTTCTCCAAAAATGCTTAGAACCCAAAATGTTTCAGATTTTAGATTTTTAAAAATTTGGATATATTTGTATAAACATAATGAAGCTTCACAGGTAGGATCTAAGTCTAAATATGCAATGTGTTTTGTGTACATCTTACACACATTGCCCAAAGGTAATTTTGTATTTTTTTATTACACCTGTGTTTTGACTATGACACATCACATGAGGTCAGGTGTGGAATTTTCCACTCGTGGTATCATGTTGTCCCTCAAAAACTTCCAGCTTTTGGGATATTTTGGATTTTAGATTTTTAGATTAGGGATATTCAAGTTGTATAAAAATTTATTTATCCATCACAGCAGGAAATGAGATAAGTTATGGCCACTGTACCATTTAGGATAATCCCTAACCTTGTAAAGCACTGCTCCTGAGTCAAACCCAAGGGTTTGGTTCTCTTCCCACATCTTTTCCAGGAGTTGACCCAGTTCCTCAGATGTCCAGGGGAGGACCCACCTGGCCTGGGTGGGCAGGGAACACAACTTCAGTTCAGGTTTGAACTTCCTCCTACCAGAAGCTGGAGTCAGCATTGCCAGATGAGTCCAAAAGCCAGGTTATCATGAATAGCATCACAGTAGTCACTGTAGGCCAGCCATGGAGTTATACCTTGATAGGTGTTTCCTCATTTAACAGTTGGGAAATACCTGGCTGACTCAGACAGTTAATTGTATGTTAGATGGTTAATCTGGATTGTCAACTTGATTGAATTAAAAAACTCCTAGATAGGCGTTTGGGTTCTAAACGTGCTAACCATTGATAAGTTCATTAGCTGAATGGGCTGTTTCTCCTACTTGGAAAAAGAAGGTTACTGGGAGCATTTCTTTGAAGCGTGTATATCTTATCCTTGACCCCTTCCACTTTGGCTCTTTCCATCTCTTTCTCTGCTCCCCAGATGCCATGAGGTAAGTGACTTTCATCTGTCATGCCTTTCCACTATGATGTTTCTGGTAACTGACCATGGACTGAATTCTCTGAAACCATGAGCCAAAATAAATCTTTCCTCCTTTAAGTTGTGTGTCAACTACTTTTTCCCAGCAACAGAATGATTACTAATACATATGCCAAGTGATCCAAGCAACTGCTCTCCCAAAAGGAATTTCCTGCCAACCTGAATTACCCTAGTTCTCCTTTTCTGTTCATGCCTCCCACAAGAAACCAAAAACATTGTATCAAACTGTACCACCATTTCTAAAGCAGCTTCCATGAGACCTTTCAGCATGTACAGTTTAAAACCATATCAATCTGCTATGCTGAAGTGGGTCTGAACACAGATTCAGCAGATTTAAGTTTGGGATTGCAAACCAGGGTTAGTGAAATGCCTTGTATATCCCAGATTGGCTACCTACAAGGCAAAAATGTGCCCCCAAAATAGGAAAATAGGGTACTATAATTCTAAAGTAATATATATTCAACAAGATTTTAAAATAATTTATCACTTTATTACTGGATAGCCTTAGACTAAAATGATTAAACATAACCTTACTTAGACACTATTGTGGTAAATAACGTTTATTAACTTACATTAACATAAATTATGACTCAGGCAATTTTCACTTGTGGTTTTGTTTTCTTCTATATTTTATCTCAACCATTCTGAAGATTTTTATTTAAATGAATATTTCTTAGTCCTTTTATTTTGAAAAACCATAGAAACCAAATGTATCTTAAACTACATTTATTCCTTATTCATGGTAAGAATTACTACTTTAGGATATTAATCATTGTATGAGTTATGGTAGCAGCAATACCAATAACGTCTAACTCCCAAAACATCCTCTGGCTTAGCACATGACAATTTGTTTCTGGCTCAAGTCCATTACAGTCAGCAGCACAGGGGCGGGGTGGAAGGGACTGGAGGTTCTGCTCCAGGCATTCAGGATCCAAGATTGTTGCAGATTCTGCCACCTTCAACACAAGTTCATCGGGGCATAGGTAAAGGAAGAGGGAGAACAGAGGTTTCAGAAGCTTTTAAAACAAGCCGGAAAGCGGAAATGCATCAAGACATCAACATTCTCCTGTTCTTACCTATGCAAAACAGACTGCAAAATGTAGTTTACCTGTGGGTCCAGGTAAAAATAAAAGAGAAAGAAATCATTTACCTTTCACAGAATGTTACTACTCCTGGTATCTATCCTGAATGACTAATCTAAAATATGGAAAATTTCATACATGCAAAAAAGTATTTTAATAGTGGGAAACAAAAACCTAGAAATACCTTGTTTATGAAAAATTAATTTAATTAAATCTAATGGAGTCATTTAATAGATTGAAGTTACTGAAGTCATTTTAAAAGAAGATTTTGTTAAGCATACTATGCAGACACATTGGGGAATACTTATCCTATAAATACTGTATAAGTGAAGTAAAATAAGAGTCCCAAATTTGATATACTGATCAAAATTCTATCAAAATGTTCACAGTAAAATAAAAGATGACAGAAAGTGCAAATAATTTAAAAAGCAGTTATAATGGTGATCATTCAATGCATTCCCAAGAAGATCTAGGCCAAGTATTGACTGTATGTGTTATATATAATGTTACCTTGATAATCCTAGACGATAGATCTTCCCTGTAGTAGACAACATATATTTGACAAAAGACCTCAGTGAAGAAGGTAAGTTCTTCCCACTCCACACTACAGCAGTGTTGATGGGGATGGTTGAGTAAACAGAAGTGACCCAATTCTGGCCAGTGAGAAAGGAAACTTGGGAAACTTTTTCTTTTGATGCAATATGAGAGTCCCATTGCCCCTGCTCTTTGCCTTTCTGCTCTGGCCATGATTATGTGAGGCACTATTTTTAAGCTACGAGTGATCATCTTGGAACCACAGTTTCACTACCCAAATAATAAGATGACACGGGAGAAAGGGAGGGGAGAGAAGAGGAAAGAAAAGAGGGAGGAGGAAGGAGAGGAAGAGGGAGAGAGAAAAAAGAAAGCAAGGACAGGGGAGGGAGGGAGCAAGGGAGGAAGAAAGAGAAAAGAAAAACAAAGGAAGCAAGGAGGGAAGAAAGGAGGAGAGAGAGACTGAATTTTGACATCATTGTTGAGTTGTTTCATGGGTCCTGCATGGTCTACCTTCACACTGATTTTTAAGCATTATAATTTAATATTTTGTCTACCTAATCCACATTTGATGGAGTATTTTCAGCCAAAGAGATTCCCAATTGCTCCATTAGCCTTCTTTTACAAGCCTGGCAGCCAGCGAGGAAGACACAGAACTGGGATATAAGGCCAAGCTGCTGAAATCCATCACAACACAGTGAAGCCAAAGCAGCCTGTCCCCCTTCCTACCCTCTCTGCACAGGCTGTAGTGAAAGAAAAAGAGCGATTTTCCTGCAAGTTGTGTCCTACAGCACACACACACACACACACACACACACACACACACACACACATCCAATAGCCAGAGCTGTAAAGCTCTCCCTTTCCTTGCTATCTAGGAGACCTAACAATTTCCCTCACTAATCTTGCACATTTTCTGCTGAAAGTGTTTCTAATTGTCTATAATATTATTCCTTCTTGGAGTGTCTCTTGATATGGAATGGTATCCCCAGATATCTTTATCTGGTTTTGTTTTTGATGGGGATAAAATTACATGGTTTTGTCAGGCTCAAAAGATTGTACCTGAAACATCACTTTATTCAGTGTATCACGTCATTATAAAATTTGGTTTTGAAACCACATCTTCTCCCAGCTGTCCTAAATTTTTCATTTGATCTCTCTTACCTGCTTGCTTTAAAAAAGAAACAATCCTAGGCATAAAAAATGATCTTATAACCTGAACACCTTCTACGATAACAACAGGCAATGTATTAACTAGTGTTGATTTTTTATTTTTTTAATTCTGTATTATTTCTATACCTTTTTCTGTTTTTCTTTTTAAAATTAAAAAATGGCATAAAAAATCCAACACAAAAATAAAATGGTAACAAGAAGCAAATAATTTAAATACTAATTGTAATTTACAAAGCCACCCTGGACAGATATCCACCAAATGTGTCTACGTAAACTATCTATTTTTTTTCAATTTATGATGCTATAAAATGAATTGCTCCCTCTGGCTATAATACCATTTGGCACAAGTCACTTTGTTGCCATTTAATTTCCATTCACACTCACCTACAGCACAAGAGATCAGAATATTACGTACTGGGAGCTATCTCACTCATTTGGAAAGAACACTCTGGTTTAAATCCAAAGTCTTGACCTTAGCAGGTGTTTAGGAGGGTCCCACCTGTAAATAATCTTTCTAAGAGTTATATTGAACATTTTGTAGTTATGCAATGAACAGTTATATTGTGAGCCTTAACACAGTCTCTGCTCCATCCTTAAGAAGGGAAGTCAGGCTCCTGCAACCAACCAAATGGCCTGCAAGAGGGTTGGTGCCAATGAATTCTTTGTTTCTTGTGAATCCAGAGAGTTAATATGTACCTCAAGTCCATCTTCTTCTGTATATATAGGTCCATTCATACAGGATAAGGGAAACAAGAAACCTACAAGCTAAAACAGAGCACTTAAGAAAAAAAGTCAATTGGAAAGAATCAAACTAATAATTTAGACATTCAGTATTTAGTTTCTGCTCAATGACTAACAAACTATGTTTTTCGGAAAAATACTTTAACCTTTCTAAAGGGGCTCAGTTTTTACACATGAGACATAATAATGGCAACAATGTAGTCCATGGTATGACATCTTAGTGACCTGATTTAAGTTCCTATAACTTCTAAATTGTAAGGTGTATTCAAAGATAAGTCTTCTAATTCTAAAATCAATGGCCTTTCTGCTAACACCTATTGAGCAAGATCATCAATGTGACTTAAAACTTGGGATATGTGATCAAGAATTCCAGGGAAGTAACATCAAATTATCTGTGAATGTACAGAAACTTAATGTTTAGTTTTCATTTTCTTCTTCTTGACAATTTCATGCTTAGAACAAAAATCCAAGTAAAATGAGAATAAGCTCGTTTTCAGAAATAGGAGAAGGAGCTACATCAAAGAGAGACACAGGAAGGAAAGTAAGAGGAGAAATAACAAGTTGAGGACATTGAGGAAGAAGTCATTGAATTCTTTACAAATAAGAATTTTTTAGCCAAAGAAGTGTTTTGGTTGCAATGAATACTTCTGTCTGTCCTGTCTCATATGAGGCTCACATGAGGATGTCTCAAGGACTTGGCTAAAGAAATTTTTCCTTTTTTTTTTTAACCCACTACTCCATTACAGGCATTTTTTTTGTTGTTGTTGGATTGGGCTTCTATTTTCTTTTGTTTTGTATTTTTTTAATTTTTTTTTATTTTGAAGGTAGTAAAATACAACAGAACAAGACAGAATAAAGCCAACTGAGACAGTGTAGTGAAATTGGTACAGAACTTCACAGCAGGTTACCAGGATAACAGTAATAGGTATCACAGTATATCTCAGAATCTTCACAATAGTTGTACTTTCAATCACGTATATCAAAATAAAATGAAATACAGAACATTATAGAACTTATCAAAACAGAGTATTGAATAGAGCAGTACCATTAATCAGAATAAAGCAAAACAGTAATAAAAATATTTACCTTCAAAGAGATGGTAGAAGAAAATCCCCCTTATTTGCTATGGTCAACCTTCCAAGAGATGCTCAGATCTCTGGTTCCCATTTGCT